TTTCGAATGCTACCATTTCTTTTTTATCATCTGAAAAGATAAACTTTTTCTCTCTCTCTACCGACATGTAAAATATTCCATTCAAATGTCTATTTGATTCTCTCCTCGACAAGAAGTCATATAAAATAAACAAGCCACCTGGACCCACTCTTATTTTTTAATAATTTCCCTTGATTTTTTGGGCACTTCTTAACATCCCCTCTGAAACGCTTGTCAATGCTATTGACCCCACCAGCTCTGCTTGTACTACTTAACAAAAAGGGTAAACCATTTAAATATAAAATCTATATAAGATGGGGGAGGATACCGACCATTCAAATAAATTAAATGTTATTTCCTACCATTTTATACCACCATCTCTCCTCCAAATTAAATGTCTTTTTATAGGATTAAAAAGAATGAATTTTTTATTTTATTTTTAATAGTACAGTGGATTAGATGATTTATTATTTATAAGTTAAATATAAATTAGTAATGTTAAAAAAATAATAATTTAACTTTTTAAATGAGATACTTATTTTAAGATAATTAAAATTTTAAACTAGCTATTGTGTATCATTTTTACCTTTCAAATAGAACAATGGTAAAGGTTCGAGTTTTAGTAAGATCCAAATAGAATGGTAAGAGTTTGAGTTGATAGTAGAACCTATGTGAATTTCATGCCAATGAAAAAAAAAAGAGTATAAAACTTCCTATTTATTTAACATGGGTGTTAAAACACAAAATAAAATGTAACAAAATGCAATAATTATATCAAAGGTACAATATTTATGCAATATATTATATTAAATTGTAATATTATTAAATTAAAATTTTTACATTTACGTAGTTAATATATTGTCGGTATATTATTGATTTAAAATTATAACATTAATGATTTAAAATTATTGCATTCGTAATATAAAATTGTTACCTTAGGCACGTAACAGACAATGAACAAAATTCCACAAGAATTCATTCTAACTCCTATTTATTAGTGTTTGAGTTGAATAAATGAGAGATCCATCAATGTCTAAATTTTGTTTTACCATTACCTGATCTTGAGATAGGTGTGACAATGGCAACTTGTCCCATGTTTGATTCGAATGGAAAATTAAATAGATATGAGTTAGATGCTAATTCTATTTAATAATTTAAATTTTTTTGATACAATCGCGAAACACGCACTAATATAATTAATATTAAAATCATATTTAATTATTGATATCTGGAGACGTCAGAATGTGCTTCTTTATCCATAATTTTTCTTTTTCAACATCAATTCTGCCAATTTTTTTATCGTCAACATATTGTCGCATTCCACTACCGTTACCATCTATGGTTTATGTGATTGTTTTCTTTCAGATTATCCATTAAACATAATTGACTTGGCACCCAACATTTCGGCTTCGTTTGGATACACATGAGAGAAAAGAAAGGGAATAATTATATGAGAAAAGAAAAGAAAAGAAAGGAAAGGAAGGGATAGAGATAATAATATTCATGTTTGGATGGATAGGAAAGAAAAGAAAGGAATGGGTAATATTTTTGTTTGGATGAATGGAAAAGAAAAGAAAGAAAATAATAATTTACCATCTTACCCCTTTTTCTCTTTCCCTTTGTAAACCCTAATTTCATCTTACCTGAATAGGGCAAATCATTTCAACCTCCCCCAATAGCCTCCATCTCTATTCTCGTTCTCAGCCCCTCTCTCTCTCTCTCTCTCTCTCTAAATGGATGTTCAATCTTCCAAATGTGTTTTTCTATTATTATTATTATTAGATATATATCACAAGATATTAAAAGAAAATTCGTTAACTCAAGCCCTATATCAGAAGAAGAAAATTCAGAAGTCACAACACTCCTTCTTGAACCAATCGAAATTGAAAAGATAGAGAGAGAGAGAGTAGAAACAATGGAAATATCTCACGTCAATTCATGGAGCTCCGAAGCGAATTGGACAATTACTCATGGCTCTCTGGATTCTTCTATCACCTTCGACTCTTCAGATTCTCCGATCGACTCCGAAACCACCGTCAATTCCACGCTCAAATCTCCCCTTATCTTGAAGCCTTCGTCGCCCGATTGTGGCCCTTGCAAGATCAAGATTGAGTTTAGTTCCATTCATCGCTGTTTCAATTCAGTATTGAATATATGTGTTGAATTTCAGGTGTTTTTATATTTTTTCAACGATTGATTGAAATGATACATATATATATATATATATATATATATATATATATATATATATATATATATATTCACTTCGGTCGCCGTTCCAGTTCAGTCGCCGTTCTTAAGCTTCAGCCGGCCCCTTTCTCTCAACTCTCCTCAAGCTCTCTCTCTCAAGGCTATTTTTGTCAGTAGAACCATTTCTCTCCAAATCCCTCCAAATCTAGTCAATTTTGGAGGGATTTGGTTTCACACTGTTGAAGGGATTTGGAGGGATAGCCTATCCCTCCAAATCTTTTCCAATCATTTCTTTTCTTCTCAATTCTCTCCACCCAAACACACTAAACTCTATCCTTCCCTTTCTTTTCTCTCCAAATCTCTCCAATTCTCTCAATCCAAACGAGGCCTTCATGATAAATAATAAACATATTATAAAACTTCTTCACAACATTGACTTTATAAAAAACTTCAATAGACGTGGATGATACTTCTCAATCAACAAGTGTATAGACATTATCACCACAAACAATTGTGATCCTTCAATTTTTTTTTTTTTGTAAAATAATAAGAGTTTAAATCCGAATATGAATAATTATGTTCACTAAACACATCGAGTTAAATTATAATATTATTATATATCGCCTGCATATTAAATTGAAACATCATATAATTAAAAGACATATTGTTTAATGTCTAACGGTGAATCATCTCATAATATATAAAAAATTACTTATATAAATAAAAATATATTATATGCTTTAATATTTGAGTAGTATTACACATCTCAAATTTTAATTCAAGATTGAATGTCTTCTATTTTAATACATATTAATACATATTACACTTTATTCTTTTATACATTTATGTTTCATATTTCAACAAACTAAACAAATTGACAATTGAAAGATAAGATAAGAACAAACAATTTTACTAGGTTTTTTTTTTTTTCTATATATACATTTTATTTTTTTCTACTAATATTTTTCATTATATATCTATATCTATATATATATATATATATTCTCTTATTCACTCTCTCAACTTCTGTATATCTTTGTTGGGTTTTTCTTTAAAAATTCCAAATCAAAATATAATTATAATTTTTTTAAAATGAATTATGTAAATTAGGATTTTTATTTACTAGAAAGATATCCACTTATCCACAGTAAAATTTACTTTTAATTATTTGAAGATTTAATAGAAAAGATCTTCCAAATCAAGATATATGTGTCCAATTGAATTGAAATGACTGAGTAAAAATAAGTTTTACTATTTTTTCACTTTTTATTTTATTTTATTAGTCCAGTAAGATCTCTCATATATTAAAAATATACAAAGTAGGCAAATAAATTAACAAATAAATAGTCATTTAATTTGATATAAAATCACAAATCTAAATCCGTCAAGTATAACAATTTTTTTTTAATACTATTCAAAACTAATTTTCAATGCAAATTTGATCGATATTGATAAAATAATAGTGCCAAAAAGTAATTACTTTTGCAAGTCAAAGGGTCCATCTTAGTCAAATTTCCGCTTGTTATGTGGGATATAATATTTTTATTTTAGCCACGCTGCCTTATCGCCGCGGACACCTGGCTGGCGCACGTTAGTCTGATTGATGCCTCTAACCTCTCTCTGCTCCATTTTGTCTTAGCCGTCTTCTATCGATCACAACGTGTCCATTTGTGTCGACATTGAAGAAGATACCGATGTGAGTAAGCACTCAACATTTTCAATTACTGCTTTACCCCTTGGTTTATTGAAAATCATCTTAATACCCCTTTTCCTTTAAAATAGACGAGGAAATTAAAGGTTGGAGGAGTGAAACAAGTTGGTGTGTGTTAAAATTATTATTCACAGAGAATGTACGAGTGGAAAAAGGAAAAAAGAATATAAATTTGTTTCAAGTTTTTTATTCTCAAATGATAAAAAAGCAAATTCTTAGTTTACTTTTTTATTTATTCCCTTTTTGACCAAAATAGAAAAGTAAATAGAGTAAAAATTATTTTACTTTTTTTTTAATAAGTTTTATTATTCCCTTTTTAACCAAACCAAAAAAGTTAAAGGAATGAAAATCTAAAAAAATTAGCCTGTTTTTCTCTTCCCCCTTCCTCTTCTTCCTGGTCTCTCATTTTTTTTTTGGACAACTATAATAATATCGAGCATCTTAAAGCATTTTACAATTTATCACTAGTCATATGTAGTCTCCTTGACTCGCTCATGCACCAAATTTTCAGTCCCAAAGAGTTCAAACGCAGTCTCCTTGTATCGCTCATGCACCAAATTTTCAGCTCCAAAGAATTCAAACTCGGACTTCAAAAATATAAGGTAAGAGAGTCTTTTATCACTAGACCATTCATTGAAATTGCTTGTTTATTAATTTCATGAATAGTGAGTACTAAAAATGCACGTTAATTGATAATTTAACTAAAAAAATAATTCAACATGTTTACATTTAGTGAAATCTAAGTTTTTCTATATATAAATATTAGAAAAAGAATAACAAAATCAAAAACTATAAAGGAAATTAAATTCGAAAAATATAGGAAGAATAATATCAATGCATCAATAACTCATCCCATTAATTAAGACAACCAAGTCTAAATTGACAACATTACAGGTGACATTTTCTTTAGTTGGATAGAAAATAGATTTTTTTTTTAAGCCACATAATACCTGATCGAATAAGGGTGTGTAAATATATAGTAGTCCGGCCTTGAAATGGAAATTCCAGAAATACAAGATAAAGGCAGGTCAGTATTTTTCAAAACTTAGGGGGTAGAAAAAGAAAACAAAAGGTTCTCATCCCACTCTCTTCATTACAATATCGAATTTGAATCGCCTATCGTCCATAATTCACTTCCATACGCGGGTTAGTGGTCGCACACTCTTACAGTAAGAGACATATTAACTCTAGAAATATATATAGGATATACACATACAGATATGCATATCCATCTCTGACACACATCAACAAAGCTCCAAACATGGCTCATAGACGATCTCCCACCTTCCTCTCAACTATTCTCGTCTTTCTCATCCTCTGCGACCTCTCCTATGGCCGATTCATCACCGGCCGTCCATCCTCAGATCTCATCTCCGACGGTGTCCAAGATGGTTTGCGGGGTCCGCAATTTCTCCGGCTCAATCGGTTCTTTGCGGACGAGTCTTGCGATCAGACGTACGGCTTCCTGCCCTGCACCACCACCGTACTCGGCAATCTCTTCCTCATAATCGTCTACGGTTACCTGATGTTCCTCGCTGCTACGTACCTATCCAGTGGAAGCGAGCTCTTGTTGGAGCTTCTTGGACCTGGTCTTGTTGGAGGACTCTTGCTTCCCACGCTCGGCGCTCTACCAGATGCTATGCTCATTCTAGGTACGGGATCTGATTCCGATCTCAGTTTGTTTAATTTTGATTTGGATTTTGCTTCTGTTTGGTTGCTCAGAAAGTGGAGGAAAGGGAAAGTTAAGAAAAAAATATGAAAGAAATTTAAAAATTTTTCTTTCAAGTTTTGTCGGATAGTAGAATTCGGAGATTTGAACTCACCTAACTTTAGAGTTCGAGTTTTCTTTTTCCTTTTCTTTTTTATAGTCTCAACGAGCAAACAAACAGGGCTTCTTTTATTTTTGTACTGCCATTTGTTTGTCAAATATTTTGAAGTGGTAGTGCCTTAGTTTGTAAATATCTTCTGATTAGCTGCTGAGAAAAGTGATAAGAATGAATTAAAATAACTTTTAAGTTGAATATTTAATCTAGTGTTTTTGTTTTGGATTCTGGAAAAAATTGACATAAAAGGAAGTCGCATTAACTATCCCAAAAAATTAAGTTAACGTTGACTGAGCAGGAAAAAGATATATATGTATATATATATATTTTCGCTCCCTATTTTAATTTCAAGCTTTGGATTGTTAAACATAATTCTTTGTACATGGAGGCTAATAAGTCGATCGGGAATTAGATGTTTCTTGTTTTCTCTTTTCATTGTTCTTTTAATATTTTAATAATGGTTAGTTGAATCACATATGCACCTATTATGTGGATATTGATACACACAAACATTCTTCTCCTTGTGTACGTGAAGACGTTTCCTCTGAGCCCAGGAGTCATAAAAAACTTGTTGCTCTGTGGTGCTTGGAGAAATCAAGATCTGCTATAATCTAGGGCTAAATTGTGGTTTAAATTAATTGCAGGCTTCTCATTTATTTAGTTCATTTGGTCCATTATTCTTGCTTTATATATAGTCATAAATGATGAGTAAGAAATTTATTCACAGCATGGTATCAGTTGGATATGATTTTTTTTTTTAGTATTTACTTTTTTGACACTTAAATCATAGCTTACTTGGCGTGGATAAAGTTGTTTACTCTCTCTGTATATATATGCACACTATAATATAGGAACTGAGGACTCCGATCTTGACACTGAGAATAGGTGGCAGAGGTAATTGATGCAATTTGTTGCAGTCAGAGGAAGGGAACTAGGGTGGGAATGGTCGTGAAGAGTAAAGATGTACCGTACTCCCTCTGTCCTAAAATAAATATCATACTATTATTTTGTAACATTATCAATTTAACATTGAACTTATAAAAAGTAAACAACCACCTCCTCGTGGATAGTTTTGGTAATTCATTCACTCTCAATCCAATAACAAAATGCTAAAACTCATCCCCTTGAAAATTTTGGATTCCCAAAAAGGGACATTATTTTGGGACAGGGCAAGAGAGAGTTGAAGATTTTGTTGGTGGTCATATTATTATTGGGGATTTGTTTTCCTTATAGGTAAAAAATATCCTTTTTTATTTTAACTTAATTTCTCCTCGATTAATGTGTACGAATTGCACTACCTGAAGAAAGTATAGGCCAGCTATTGTAAAGGAAATATATATGCCGTGTTCACAAAAATATTTGAAACATCCTTCTTGTGGCTTATTGTTGTCATATCTACTGTTTTAACTGACCAGCTCTAAACAATCAGCCTATGGAAATAGTAGCTATGGACAACAATAAGCCACAAGAAGGATGTTTCAAATATTTTTGTGAACATTATTTATTTATTTATTATGTACTACTTGGACTCATTCTGTGATGAATATTCTCTTTTGTTGATTGCACAAGTTAGTTAATGTCATGTTTTAATAGTTTGTATCTTTTTTATGCTAGAGTTTTTTTTTGTTTTTTTTTTTTGTTCTTCTAGCTTATGATGTAAATCCAACAAACATCATATAGTTGATATTGATCCATGTATTGCTTCTAATCTACTCCCTTTTTCTTTTTAACAGTATCTGGAATCTCTGGAAGTACAGAAACTGCTCAGAGTCAGGTATCGGTTGGCATGGGCTTGCTAGCTGGGTCAACAGTGATGCTGCTTACTGTAGTATGGGGAACATGTGTTGTTGTTGGCAAGTGTGACCTTGATCAAGATTCAATTGCAAGAGATGGAAAAGATACTAAGGGATTTAGCTTAACTGGTATATCATAGGCTTGTCTAATACATGTCATCTTTTGATTCTTTTCTTATTTGCGAAGATTGTTTGCTGAGTTTTAGCCAATTTGTTAATAATTACATAATCCAAAAGTTACTCCATCTATGCAGAATCTGGTGTCTCTACTGATATCTGGACCAGCTATGCTGCAAGGATCATGGCCATATCTGTAGTGCCCTTTTTAGTTGTCCAATTACCACAACTTCTCAATTCTACTTCAGGAAGACATTTAGCAATCCTGATTGGACTTATTGTCTCTTTCTCGCTACTAGTTTCTTATTGCCTTTATCAGGTGATTATATATTCTGTGCAGTAAATATGCATTGTATTGTGCATATAATTTTTTCCCAAGTATTTTTATCTTTTCTGTAAACTGTAGAAATGTACAGGATAATTGTACTACTCGGATCACTGCCTAAAGAAATCTCAAAATCATGTTACAAGCATCACAATTAAATAAATACGTGTGATGCCGAACTTTTCAATTGTTTGGGCTATATCCTTGTTTAGATACAAATAAAGTATCTCTTTATTCTGAGTGTTTTCACTGAGAAAAAGTTCAGGTCGTTGGGGACTAAGCCGTTGGTCATGGTTTAAGTTGGGGTGGTTTTCTGTTAAATTAATATGGACTTTTCAAAAGTAGTGAAGTACCCGTGTTGGACACATGTCCCTCGGGCATGGGTATGGGATGTGTCCGACACTTTTGGTTGGATATATACTTAAAAAGCATATTCAATCATTCAATTACATTATATTATTACTTTAAAATGAGTTAAGTGCTTATACTGAACATTATATTAGATAAAAACATTACTTTACTCTAGAAAATAAAATAAAATAATTAATAAAATGAATATTTAGCCGTGTCCGTGTATTTTTCTATTTGGAGATCTGACACGTCCGACGCATAGATACATACCCGTGTCTGACACTCGTACAGGGTGGTTCACAACTTTTTATAATTGATGTACATATATCACATTCATGGGCTCTTGGTAAAAATCATCACAAGATGGAAAATATCTATTATATATATGTATATATTCTCCTTTTAATCCCAATGTTTTGACCTCGTATCATTGTGGATGAGTTTCCTTTTCGGTCGATAGGGGTTTGAGATAATTAATAATGTTAAAATTGGTATAGATTTCAATTGTGAAGTTATAGCAACAAAAATGTTTAGGAAGTGCATAGGAGAACATATATATTTCATCATACTTGAAGGAAAAAAAGGGTTTTGTGTGAAGTTAAAAGGAACTCACTTCGGTCTCCTTATTTCCTTTTGGTACCTTCCACTGTGATCGAATCAAACTGCCATTACTGGGCGTTAATTGGTTCATATTACACATACGAAATACCCTAGACGACTTGACCTCTTCTTAGCTTCTTCAATCAGTGTCACGGTTAACATCCTTATGATGTACTTATTTCTTATTCTGTCTTTTCTTGTAATGTTGTTCATCGATTCCAACATTCTCATTTGAACTATAGTATTTCTTGTATCTATTTCCTTTTAACCGTCCAACATTCTGAACCATAAAATTAAAATGGTTGTGGTACAGTCCTATAGAACTTCAACTTTACAGTCACAGTCCTCTGAAAACATTTCTCCATTTTATCCATATTCTAATGCTTTGGTCGATGTCCTGAATCTCTCATTTTTTTTTTTTTTTTTTTTTGACATCGGAAATGTTTGTTCTTTAGGTATTTTAGGTCTCTTTATGCATTAAATTATGATATACCCCTTTTATGTTAAACTGTGTTTCAAATTTTGGCAAAATTAGGTTTTGGAAGAATTGGACTTGTCCAACTTCAGCAGACCGGTCTAATGTGGTTGTAGACTGAAGATCAGGGTTTTGGTGGAATTGGACATTGGATCGGTCTAAGAATTACAGACAGGTCCAATGTGCCGTGGGAATCAATTTCCTTTTTCGTTTGGGACTTTCCAAAAGGCCTTAGTGTTGGGGCAGCGGAAGCATGCGAATACAAAAATCTAATGAAAGCCAACAAAACAACCACACAGAAACACAAGATATGCATAGTTCAGCCAAAACCGGCCTACGTCCATAGATGAGAAGAGATTCCACTATAATTCGTAGAGATATTATAACAATAGAGTACAAACACTATGCACGTCTTTTCACCATGTATCACTCCACGAGCTTATCTCCTCGCTACCACTCTCGGTGTTTTTCCCTAAGTCACATAAAGCGAGAGTGAGAGCTGCTGGAGTGGAAGCGCAAATTTTAAAAAAATAGAGAATGGGAGTGTCTTTAGAGCGTATGTATATTTATTTATACGTATTATTTTAATTAATACATTAATATTTTAATTTATTAAATATATATATATATATATTAATTTTTTAATATAAAACTATTAAAATGTAATGAGATATTTATTTATAATAAGTTTATTAATTAAATTTATAAAACAATATGCACTTGACACGTATGGGCTCAATTCTTAAATTTATAATATATGTTAATTGTGCAATGTTGTAATACACATTCAAATGTTGGCATGATGGTATTTATGGTATTTACCCTTGTTTTATACTTGACGCGTCATGGGCTCAATCCCCATATGCACTTGTCACGTCTGGCGCAATCCACACCATGTGCACTTACCCTTTTTTAAATCATTATCTGGGTAGACAATATTTGGACACTAGACAAATTTGCGGATTTAAGCCTTGTGCGTATTCATGCGTTTTCAAGATCTGAAAATGCGAACTCAAGTTTTTGAGTTCGCGGATTGGTGGCGACTCTGCTCCCAAGGCGTGAATCCGCGCGCGGAGCTTGGGAGCAGTGACCACGGCTACGAATTATGTGACTAACGTTTTTCTTATTCTACCAACTCGCACACTGCCTCTACCCATCAACTCCCTCATGAGACTACTTCTTTCTTAATCTCATAAATCTCAACCCACACAAGATAGGTACCTATTTATAGAGTTACAAATACAATTCCTTGTTGGACAAGTATTACAATTCCTTGGAGCCCAAAACTTGTCTGATAAGAAATTACCATAAATAATTCAACTCTAAAAGAGAAACCAAATTAGAATAGGAATTTGAGACACAAATCCTAACAATCTCCACCTTGGCTCAAATTTTATCCAGCCAATCATCGCTTCCCATGGCATTGATCAGGACAATTATTTTGCAACTTCAATCTTGACAATACTCCTGCAAAACTCCGACTGTCCACATTATACGTTACTCGATCAATCAAGGCTCCACCATGACTACTCGAGTAACAAAGCCGATTGACTCCACTTACAACTGAAACCCGTTGTAGCACATGTTGAGATTTCTTGTGTTTTCTGGATCTTCTTCACATTTGGCTCTGATACCAACAACAGCCGCCTAGACTTTGTGGAGGAAGTTGTTTTTCATGGGGATGCTTCTATTTTAGAGCCGGTGATTGTTTTGGTAACTCTAGGTTAGTTGTGGAATTCTTGTCCAACAAGGAATTGGTAATTCGAGACTATAAATAGAGGTGGAATTGGGTGGAGAAGGTAGAGAGAGAGAGAAGTGTTAAGAGAAAGAGAGAGAATTGTAAGACGGAAAGTCGTGAGAGTTGAGAGGGAGAGAAAGAGAGTGTATTCTTTATATTAAAAGGAATGATAGTCGTTCTTCACTCGTGGACGTAAGCAATTTGCCGAAGCACGTAAATCCTGTCTTGTTTGTTTGTGCGCTCTCTTCTATTGTATTTGCCATTATAGAATACTTGTAATATGTTTGGAAAGTATAATAAAAAAATTGCGTTCAAAGTTACTGATTTGGCATCTCCCTCTTCTAGGTTGAGTGCAAGTCCCTTTATAAGAGAGATTCAAAAATTAAGTTAACCTTTTATCACATGTTAGAGTTATGGTTCAGATATATGGTACATTTAACTTTTTGCTACCATCTATTCGCCTTTATAATGAATGGGTGTAAAAACTAATCAACTGCCAGGAGAGATCAACTGCACTTGCATATTTATTTTTCTCTGATGTGTAAATTCTAATCGGCACTAATAAATGCTGATGTGTAGGAAGTCCTATTTATCGTGTTGAATCCTGATAGTGAGTTCTGTTCTTAGCCATATAGTTCACTGGTTATCAGAATTGAATATTGATATCTGTGCTTTAGTTTGATTTCCCTTTTAAAATTTTATGCAGGTTTTTCAGCCTTGGATCCAGAGCAGACGACTTGATTTTGCAAAGCATAAGCATGTAAAATCCGGAATTTTGAAACATTTGGGTTCCCGTGAAAAGTTCCTCAATGATGATGGCACGGTTAATCAGGATATTGTAGAAAAGTTAGTTTTATTAATACATTTATGAATCCTTCCTGTTGCAGCCTTTATTGCAAGAGTAAGGCTGTCAAGGTAGCGCTCCCACGTTGAGCTTCCCCTTGCAGCCATTAGCCTGAGATACTTCTCTCAATCCGGTGGCTGCAGTGGGGAGCTCCATTGAGAATGCTCCCTTGATAGCTTTTTCCTTACTGAAAACTTGGGTGATTTCTTGTTTTATTTCAGGCTATTTAAGATGATTGACGGGGATAATGATGGATTTATTTCAGATGCTGAATTGAGAGCACTAATTGTAGGAATTCAGTTTGATAATATAAACTTAAATCAGGAAGATGCCGTGGATAAAGTGATGAAAGATTTTGACATTTTAACTCGTGATTCTAAAGTTGATAAGCGAGAGTTCAAAGAGGGAATCGAAAGATGGCTTGAGGAGGCCAAGTGTTCTGGGGATTCTTCTCCTGAGGGTGGTCCTGGCGCAAAAAATTACCTGGATGATTATCACAAGGTATGTTTTGTCACGATGAATCCCGTAACAGTTCTTGAATGAGGTATTCAACTCCAGGGATGAACTGAAAAAGAAATATATATATATATATATATATATATATATATATATATATATATATATATATATATATTTTAATTATTTATTTTATGGAAGGATCAGAAGAATTGAAATAGAAATCTTTATTGGTTCTGCCTCTATTTTTTATGAAGAGAATATATATTTTTTGTGGAAGGATCAGAAAAATGGTCTGATTTCCTGCAGGAATGATTTGGAAGATCCAGAAAATAAAAATAGTGGTATTTGCACGCTTAATATTTTTAGTGTCATCCGTATCTGTCTTAATCCTGCCCTTTATTGGAGTAGTTTTTCCTTTGCCAAATTGTCCGAGGCCTAGCTTTTTTTAATCCAATCGTGAATGTTATGCCAGTCAAACCTGTTGTGCACTTAGTACCACTGGGATAGTAATGTTATGGAAATGCATTTGCAGCAAACAAAGAGAGAACATTATCTTTTGGGGGATCACAGTGATGAAGCCACTGAGGGTGCTGGAAATCCTAGGTGGACAATATTTAAAGCAGTATTGTTATTGTTGCTGGGAGCTGCCATTGCTGCTGCATTTGCTGATCCTTTGGTAGATGTTGTTGATAATTTCTCTGATGCCACAGGCATTCCTTCTTTTTTTATCTCATTCATTGCGCTGCCTATGGCAACCAACTCCAGTGAAGCAGTGTCTGCGGTTATTTTTGCCAGCCGGAAAAAGCAGAGATCTGCCTCATTAACATATTCGGAGGTTTGTTTCCCCTCTGGTTTTCTTTCTTGTACATGGAGATAATTCTCATAAATTCAGTCATTTAACAAACTTGTATGTCATTATTAATTATTCTTTTGGCATTCTAGCAACAGTATATAAAACTTGCAACTTGTCCACACTCCATCCCCTTGTACCGGGGGAAAAAAAAAAAAATTCAAATCTAGTTTTTGGTTTCTGCATCCTTTGAATTTAACAATTCGATATTACAATATTCTTTCATTGTCCCAAGATTTTAAGCTCTACTGGGTTATAATTGTTATGAAAAATTTTATTGCATCAGTTAGCTAATACTTTTTTTACAAACTTCATATCAGTGAAACTTTCTTGGGGGAAAAAAAACTTCATATCAGTAATATGCTTTTAAAAGGAAAAGAAGCTTATCAATAGCGAAGTTATAGTTTTTGTTAGTTTGATCTTTAAATGTGACTAGTGCATAATATGACATGTTCCAAGTGTAAATAATGACAAACATTTCCTACTAGAATCTGTATGTCTGCATATTTAGTGATCATGAGAGATTAGTCTTCTTTAAAGTGCAATTGAAACAATATCTAATCTCTTCAAGTTTTCTGCTGCAGTTATACGGTGCTGTTACCATGAACAACACACTTTGCCTATCAGTGTTTTTGGCCCTTGTTTATTTTAGGGGATTGACCTGGGACTTCTCATCTGAGGTGCTGGTTATTTTGATTGTTTGCGTTGTGATGGGTGCCGTTGCCAGCTTCCGCACCACCTTCCCTCTTTGGACCTCTTTAGTGGCTTTCGCATTTTACCCATTCTCCCTGGCGCTGGTATATGTTCTCGACACCTATTTGGGCTGGTCATAGGTTCAGTGGTGGTGGCGCTCTCTGGTAAACTATTGTTAGTTGTCATGATTCTCTCTTTTTACTTGAGGGATGGTTTTTTTTTTTTTTTTTTTTTGGGTGCTTGAGTTTGATGCATTTAGATGACACTCGGGACTGTCCTTAAGTGATTTTGAACTATCTTGGAACTTTGGCATGGCATTGCAACTTCTTTCCAGATGTGTATAAGGCTGTGACATTTTTTCCGGAAGCCATTTTGATATTTTCTGTATAAACACCTTCTTGGTTGCGGGTGGGTTGTCCCTAAGTACCATATAATTGTTTTTTCTAAAGCAATTTTTTCCGGTTTTGTTTTTTTGAAAAGGGGCAGCATCGGAGCCTTAATGGTTACTGGTTATGTGTCAAAATGAAATTTGAAAATTTGAAATTTCACTATAAAATATGAAACTGTATGATTCTAACAGCTATTTGAGGATACTTGGCATGCTAAAAGACTGAATACAAGTCTAACCTTAATTTGTTTTGAGGACTATAATGCACTTGGATTTTTAGTGTTGTACGGAAATAATTGACATATTAGATATGGTATAGTGCATAAAACCTCCCTGCACTCCTGCATTTTTGCAAATAATTCTTTGAGTTACAAACTATCCTCTTGAACTAATGATTTGTTGTAGTAATGGACAAAGTCATCACAAAAGACTATTTAACTCTCATTAAATTTTTATTTTTTTATTAAGTTACTTTTATGATCTTTTCTCTTATATAACTATGAATCATACTTTTTTCCTTAATTTTATCATTAGTTTTCATTTATAATAAAAATGAAAAAAAAAAAAAATTTATAACTACCATTTTGTAAAATAATAACTTATTATTAAAATTTTACTATTTATAATAAAACTTATTATATTTGGTTTAATTTTTTTTTACTGTTATATATATATATATAACTTATTTAATTTTTTTTTTTTTTTTGGGTCATACAATATATGTATGAAAATTAAATAAAAATACGTTCTTTTTCATGTAATATATTCATAAAAATTAAAAAATTATTTAAATTGTTTTAAAAAAAATTACTTAATATTTATATGTAAACATTTAATTTTGGAATTAAAGGTAAATTTATGCAAATTTATTGGAGATTATGTGATAAAATTAGTATGAATTTTTTTTTTTTCCATCATATATTTTAATTAAAAAATGGATTAAATGTAATTCAATAACAAAAGGGCATTATGGTCATTGAATGAAAAATAGTCCAAATATGGGGGCATTTTGTAACAAAATGTAATAATTTAGGGGTATTGTGTACAAAATAAATTCGGACATAGTTTAAGAGTTTTTTTATTATTATTATTTTTTTCCCACTTTACCCTATTAGACATTATTACTACAATACTACTTGTGTATTAAGAGAGAGTGCTCGCATATGGCCGGATTGCTAATTGTAACAAAATGTAATAATTTAGGGGTATTGTGTACAAAATAAATTTGGACATAGTTTAAGAGTTTTATTATTATTATTTTTTTTTCCCACTTTACCCTATTAGATATTATTACTACAATACTACTGTGTATTAACAGAGAGTGCTCGGCATATGGCCGGATTGCTAATTTAGAAAATCTAACTAATTAAATTATGAAAGAAAAATGTTAAACCTCTAGATTTTTTAGTTTGAAAAATTATTACTGTATGTGACAGTAGAATCTCATGGTTATAAAATTATTAGGGAAAAGTACAATGACACTCCTGAGATTTGTTATATAGACAGCCTTATAAAAGTTGTTTGTTTTTTGAACAATGACACTCCTTATCAAAATTGTCATCCAAACAAAGCCTTAAATGGTTCGAAAATACAAAATTGCCCCTTAATATTAAAATCAGTTTTATTGTAAAATATCAAAAATGTTAAAATGTCAAAATTACCCTTGAGGTAATATGAGCCACAAAATGGCGTCAATTTATTGTACTGAAATTCATTAATTTCTCTGAGATATTGTAATATTCTAATTGCTATGAAATTTTTACCAAAGGTTCATTTGCACGTCTAGTAACTCTGAAAATTTCAATAATTTTAGTCAAACAGATATTTTTATAGAAATTTGGCACATCCTGTTTGGAATTTTCCACTTTTTGAAATTAGTTTTTTAATTTATTTATTTGATGGAAAAAAAATCATCTCCATTTACTCTCTCAAAGGAGGAAGTGAACATCTAACGGTGGTGATTAACGCTACATTTCTAACATAGCTTTGTCATCGCCAAGTTAGCAAGGTAAGTAAAAAATTAACTAATCTACACTTTATTTTACCATATATACGAATACTAATTTCTACAGTTATATTTTATACGATATATTATACTACTGAAAAAATACTATTCAACTTTATCTTTTTATTTAAATTAAAATACTTTTTTTTTTACTTTTTATTTTCTGTATCGGAATTCTATTCGTATATTGTTTATTCTTCTTCCGTCCTAAATAATGTAAATGCACAAGAACAAACAAACTAAATTTCGAGTTGCCTCCAAACAATGTAAAATGCATTCCAAATTTTGGTTATATATATATTTTTATGTTCATCAAACTTAATAACCCAGACTTTAAATTCTTTGGATAACCAAAGTCATTCCTGGATTGTCTCTAAATAAGATAATAGTTGTTTTCCCATTTTGAAAAAAATTACAAAAAAATAAAAATAACTGTCTCACTTACAATTGCCAAATGGCCAGAATCTTCATTCCAAAATTGGTCCGATGATTTTTTTTCTTTGAAGAGAGAGCTCATTAATCATAAAGCATCACTTTATGCAATGTGTTCTGGATTTGCTTTACGTTTGGTTTGGTTTTGCTTCTTTTAGGCTTAATTTTGACGAGGAGAAGTTTTCATTTTGTTTGGATGCAAAGTTGACTTTTTGTGAAAAAGGTTTTGTTTTTTCTTTTTGGGAAGTTTAATTTTCAACTTTTTTGTCACTTATTTTGTCAAGTGGGACTCATAAAGTAAAAATTAAATTCATTAAATATTGCAATATATATATATATATGTTTTATGCAAAAGTTGTATGTATAAATTGTGGGACTCATAAAGTGAAAATTAAATTCATTAAATATTACAATATATAAATATGTTTTATACGGAAGCTATATGTATAAATTAGCAGCTTGGTAAACACGAATTTAACTCAAGTGTCAAGTCAGTTTTTTTACCCCTCACTGGACCAATCAAGTGGGAGAGCAAACGGAGAGGATTTTTTTCCTTCTTTGACAAACTTCTGGACATCAGATCATTACTACCATTTTCAATTTTATACTTCCGTGAGTCTACTTTTCAAAATATTTTGTTTGCGCTGTTTCTAAATCAACACTTCAACTTTTTTACGTCAATTGTAAAGTTAAGTTAAAAAAGTCCACTAAAACGGTCAAAGGGCAATTCATTAAGTTGTAAAGTTAAAAAAGTCCATTAAAACGGTCAAATGATAAGTTTGTCCATTCTTTATGTTTCATATGTGGCAGGGGGCTACAAAGATATTTTTGTCAACTTTTTCAAACTTTATGAAATGTCATTGTCTAAAAAAAGTAGCTAACTTATATATGAACGGTCAATATAAACAAATCTCAATGTGTGTCCCCCAATTATTATTATAGCTTACATAAAGAAATTTATGAGCTTAAATAAAGAAAAATAACTTGCTGTCGGTTGTTCACTTGTGCGAATTTCAAATAATTTCTCCAATGGGTTGTAAAAGAAAGCATCCCTTTTGTAGCCATTTAGGTTGTCAATTTACGTTTATGCCATTTAGGTCGTCAATTTACGTTTTTGAAAATCAGGCTTTAGAACATTGAAAGCAAATGTAATATTTGACACTGGGAAAATTATAAAAGTGAAAGAAAAACTTTAGAAGTCAAATTATATCTTGAGAAATCCGTGATTGTAACCATAAAATCTTTGGTTCAAGATCAGATTTTTTTTTATTATTTATTTTAAGGATTTCTTCTTATTTTTTCAATCCATCTCGGCTGAGAATGCACAAACCTGAACTCTAAACTTTGTAGGGCTTGCACCTTAAACTTGGATAATGAGCTTGTGAATCCAATGAACACACACACAAAGAATACATAACGGACTGAAGTCACCAAGAATCGACAGAAAACTCAAGGATTTGGGATCACAGCTCCTCAAAAGCAACTTCCTAACTTGAAAATTTCAACATAAATATTTAAGAACTGAAAGAAACTTTTGATTTTAAATCAACCATAACTCTTGGGTGTAGAAAAATTACCACCCACTAATAATTTAAGAGTATTATTCTCTTTGGATTTAATGAGTTTTAAAACCTAAAAGTTTCATCAAATTTTAAAAGGTCTCTTTGATATCATCTCATTTTAGATTTTCAGAGATGAGCATAGCATGAACAATCAAAAGCCAGACAACACAAACCCACAATCAGTTTACCACAACTCAGAACCAAAAAGCTTGTTATGACTCGTTCACACAAATCAAACAAATCACAAAATTTATAAAACAAAAACACCAAACAGCCGTGAATAAATAGTTTAACACCCAAACAAACAAATCTACTACTCTCCCTATTTTCTCCTCTTCCCTCTCACATGACCAAGATTTGGGGTCTCTCTTACACTCATGTTTACATAGGAAAAGTAATAGCCACTATACATATAAGCCATTGAATCAATTAAATAATAATAATAAATAAATAAATAAATAATCCTAGTATGATCTTAGAGGAAAAATGGATGATATAATAAGAAGCTGGCAAGCCATTTCTTAGAGAGAAACAATTTGGCCTGCCAAAAACATCAAAGAGAGGGCTATCTTTTATAACTTGAGATTGAGGTCAACACCTCCTCCTGCTTCACCATTGCAGTTGCTAACAGCAGCTGCTTGGCCAGTTTTGCAGTTGCTTGTAGTATTTGCTGTTTGGCCAGTATGTGCTTTTGCTGATGGAATGAATCTGTAAAATGGATGTCGCTCAATCAACCCACACAGTCCTTGCTGATGAACTGATTCTTCCATGCTTCCCTGGAAATTTAATGGACTTGAAATTTATAGATAGCAATTACCCACAAAATGAAAACTGAAAATGGAAAATTGTGTAATGTGGTGTTGTTGTTTAATCTTACTGGATAAGGTAAACCTTCTAATTCAGATAATTGACGGTGATGGGTGGCTACATAAGCTGAAGGGGGCTTAAATTTTGAGCTTGGATGTGGCAAAGTACTTGTGGGGAGGGCCAATGTGAGAAAATCTCCACTCAGATTACCATTTTCTTTGGTGACTATACTCAAATTCGGTTCATACATTGAAGCTGAGCTTGAAGGGCTTTCTCTGGAAAGGGAGCAACAATACCATGTGAACATTCGAATTACAAAAATAATAAACATAAAGTTCTACAAATTAAGATAAAGCTGACCTGAAAGCAGGGTTGATGGGTTCAATATTATTTGTGCCTCCGTTGCTGCATGAAGCTGATTCATCTGATCTGGTGATGGGAGGAGCAACATATGTTGGAGGAAATCTGCCATGTAAAGAGGGGCCTGGTGGATTTTCTAGAGAGAAGGAATACGGCCTCTTTATACCAACCTTCTGCATTGTGAACAAATTAACCAACAAAATCAATTAAAAAAAATCTACTAATTTCAATTCAAGAAAAATTAATGCATCATTCAAGTTGCTCTCATTAGAAATATCACAAATTTAGAGTATTTTATACTAATTTTCATTCAAGAAGGGAAAATGTTAAACATTTAACGTACAAAAATCAAAACATGAACCCCAATCTTTCAAGGTTCTCAATTTTAATTCGCATAACCAATTCCAGAAAATTCCCTAAGGAGATTTTGTGGTCTTTCAATATAACAATCCAAGAAAGAATGGATAGAATTGAAATATGAAGAAATTAACCACAAAAATCCCATATTCCACAAGTCTCCATCTCATATAGGTACATAAAAAAACGAACCCCAATCTTTCAAGGTTCTCAATTTTAATTCGCATAACCAATTCCAGAAAATTCCCTAAGGAGGTTTTGTGGTCTTTCAATATAACAATCCAAGAAAGAATAGATAGAATTGAAATATGAAGAAATTAACCACAAAAATCCCATATTCCACAAGTCTCCATCTCATATAGGTACATAAAAAAACGAACCCCAATATTTCAATCATCTCAATTTTAATTAGCATAACCATCATCATCATCCTTGCCTTAATTCCATATGAATGGGGTCGGCCACATGAATTCTCTCTCCAATCTTTTCTATTAGATGCCATTTCACCTACTACATTTAGCTTTTTAAAGTCATTTTTAATAACCTCATCCCATGTTATCTTTAGCTGCCCTCTCCATCTTTTACCTTATATTATAACTAATCTTCCTCGTTTGATCGGCATATCTCTATGTCTCTGATGCAAGTGTCCAAATTATATAAGTTTACTCTCCCTAATTTTCTCACCAACGGGTGTTACCCCTAATCCTTCACTCACCCTTTCATTAGTGATCCCATCTCTTCTAATTACTCCATTCATCCATCTTAACATTCTCATTTTTGCCGCTGCACCACATGAAGGCGATGTTCTTGTTTTTTCTTTAAGGCCCAACACTCCGCTCCATACAACATTGTTTGTCTAATAACGATCCCCTAAAATTTTTCTTTTAACCTACGTTTTATTTATTTTTATCACATTAGATCTCACTAGCTTGTCTCCATTTTGTCCAACCGGCTCCAATCATACTAGTTATATCACTATCTATCTTTCCATTTTTTTGTATTATCTATCCTAGAGAACGAAATTGATTTTGAAGCATTATCATTACATTATCAATGTCCTACTCTTTATTAAATTGACACTTTATATACTCGGTTTTAGTTCAAATAATTCTCAATCCTTTCGATTCTAGAGCGTTTCTCCACATTTCTAATTTTATTGTTAAATTCTCTTTAGAGATATCCAAGAGCATGATATCATCGGCAAACATCATGCAAGATGGTATCTCGTTTTGGAATTCTTTTGTTATCTCATCTAGATTATTGCAAATATATATGGGCTTAGCACCGAACCTTGGTGCAATCCCACATTATCACTCACTAGTGTCTCCATATGTTGTATGCACTTTAGTTTGATCTTGGATACTTTTTTATGATTTGTGAAGGACTCATTAATTTAATTCCTCTATAGCTGCCACAATTTTGTATATCGCCTTTATTTTTGTAAATTGGTACTATTGTACTTTTCCTCCACTCATTTGGCATCATACCTTGCTTTAGGATGTTGTTAAACAACTTCGTTCGCCGCTCAGTTCCTACATTGCATAACGTTCACAAAGTCTCTATAGATATATTATATGGGCCTACAGCTTTATTACTTCCCCCATCTTCTCAAGTGTGTCCAACACCTCCTTGTTGGTGATTCTGTTTAGCATTCCTATATTAAAACCATTTTCTTCTACCTCTTCTATACTCTCTAGGGTATTCCTCATTTAATATAACAATCCAAGAAAGAGTTGACAGAGTTGAAATATGAAGAAATTAACCACAAAAATCTCATATTCCTCAAGTCTCCATTTTATATATGCGCATAAAAACGTAAATCCCAATCTTTCAATCATCTCAATTTAAATTAGCACAACCAATTCCAGAAAATGCTCTACGATGGTTTTTGTTCTTTCAAAAGAACAATCCAAGATAAAATTGATAGACAAGAAATTAACCACAAAAATCCCATATTCCGAAAGTCTCCATCTTATACAAGTACACAGATTCTACTGAATTTTCAACTAAAGAAGAATGTACAACTAAATTATACAGTTGAATAGACTATAAGCTGAGAACTTTTAAGCCATTAAGATGGACATTACCTTCTCTTCCTCTGGCCACATAGTCGGATAACTGTTGCTGTGATAGCTTTGGTTTGAAGGGGGCTCCAAATGAAAATTCATTACAGATGCTGATGAAGTCCTTGATGGGACATTCACCTACAATTCCCATGAGTTCAGGTACATAGAAAATCCATTGAAATATATAGAAAAACAAATATGCAACCGGCTAACCTTTGATGAAAAAGAAGGTTGTTGAATGTGTGGTGTTCTGTACGTCACATTAGGTGGAGGGCAAGATTCACAAGGCAAACTCATACTTGATAACAATCCGAATCCACGGTCTTCCAACCTTTGATTCTCCCCCTCAGAATTGTACTCACAATTCCAGAACTTGGGGCATTTTCCATTCCCTGAACCCGAAATCTCCGACCAACCAATCTCAACACCAGTCCCATTTAATGGTTTGGACAATGTAACACAATTTGGATGTAAACTATCAGCATTTGGGATGGAGAGGGGTGGTCTAAATAACAACGAATTCGGCGGAGAGAGATCGGCGAGAGAAGGTCGTGGTAAAGGGATAGTGGAAGGTGAAGGGCTATGCCTAAGATTGGCACATTGAACAGCTAAACATGATGAATTACTTGGGGATACAATTGAATTGTTTGACAAAATATTATTAGCTGCATCTTTTTTCTGTTGTTCCTCTAATCTAATCTTCTCAAGCTGAGCAACACCAAGTCCTCTTTGTGGGACTTTTTTCTGCTTTAACTTTTTTGAAGATCTACTACCACTGCCACTGCCACCACCACCACCATCCCCATCACTATTTCTACACTTCTGGGCATGTTTTTCCTCTTGAGCCATTCTTGGTCTCAGCCATCTAATAATAACAAGCAATCACAGAATTCTTATCCAGTGAACACAAATGAGTTAACACATACACAAAAGATTTGTCCCATTAATTAAGATACAATCTACAAAATCAAAAATCAAAAATCAAAATTTGAGGGTTTGAAGAAAAACCCAAATGCGAAATTTTTAGAGGAATGAAGAGAACCCAGGTCAAAAGGAACCCAAGTATCTAAATCTCGTGGGTTATGGAGTCGAGATCGGCAACTTCTATGCAAAGAAGAACACCAATAATTCAGCAAATGATGGTGTGTGTATATATGTATATATATATAGAGAGAGTGTGTATATGTGCGTATATATATAGAGAGAGAGTATCTCAGAGCTTCGGATTTTTCTGAAACCCAGTTTGTTTGTTTGTCTGAGAGACAGATCAGATGACTAAAAATAAAAAAGAGAAAGACCCAAATTTCGAAATTCAAACTTGAAAGCAAATCTAAAGCAATTTTGAATACTTTCTCTCTCTAATTTATCGCCCAAATCCTCGCTCCACTCCTCCTTTCCTTCCTAGACCGACTCTCTCCCATGATAATCTCTCTCTCTCTCTCTGTGTTAACTTGCACCTTTGCCAAGTAATGGAAACAAGTTTGATTCTGTTTCGTAGCTTTCGATTCATTCACAAATATATATATACACACACACACGAAAGAATTAATTTAACTCGGTTAGATTCAATATTGATTTCTCGTACTATATATTATATTTGTCATTTTCTATTTTTATATTTGATGACTGATTCATAAAAGGATGTAGCAAATTAATAAAATAAACAAATAAATAACACCTAATGAATGATACATTGAAACATGTTTGGCTTGATAGTGAAATTTAATTTGTTATTTGTAAAATTTTAATAAATATATAATATAGTTTTGTTTAAGTTTGATATTCTTGAGAATTATACTTAAATTATCTTGATGTTGTTTTTGTAAAGAGTAACCATTCTTACATTAAAATTGGTGATTGAACTTATGGTTGTTACCATTTCGTTTTGTCTTCACCTGATATATTTAAAAAAAAAAAAAGAAGAAGAAGAAGAAGAAGAAGTAGTGTAAAAAAAAACTCCTGTCATATATAAAAAATGCTCAAAAAATAAAAAAATCCCATATATATTTTAGGATAATATTTACCTACTCACTAATGATAGGGAGTTCATACTTACCCATGATATGGAGCAAAATTAGTGGAACAACTGTCTATAAAATAGAAAATAATCAAAATTTTAAAAATAGAATATTTACTGAGTCAACCCAAAATGATGCAAATCAAATCTTAATTTAACTATCTCCCTCCCTTTCTCTCTCTCAAACTATTTTACTAAAAACCTAATATGTTAATACCGAAAGTTTTGACTTTTATATTTCATGATTTAATATATAATCCTTACATATACTAATCAATTATTTTTATCTAAAATACACCAAATTATATAAAATTAAAATCAGGTTTCGATAAATGATTGTTTGATTGTTTGTATCTTGTAATATAATTTTAATGAAGAATTTTAGCTTAAATTTTTTTTTAGATCCCCTTCTCATTCACTTCGTGGACAAAAAAAAGAAACCACAATTGCTTAAGAGAGAGACGGGGAGAGAGTTAGATTTTAATCATATTAGGTTTAATCACGATAACCTCTTAAATCTTTTAATTTTTATTATTTTATATTATAGGGACACGTGTTCCACTAATTTTGCATCACATCAAAATAAGTATGAACTTCTTACTCACAGGTGAGTAGGCAAGTATTATCTTTTTTTATATTGAACACATAAGCACAATTCTTCATTTTTAAAATTAAAATACCTAAAATGCTCTCAAAACAAAATATAAAAAATATATATTTTTTACATAAATTTTGGGATTCTTATAAATATTTTGGAGTTTTTATAGAAAAAATAGTCAAATTTGATGGGCATATTAATTGGCTCATAGTAATAGGGATGCAACATGAAATGGAATAACTTCATAATCTATCTAATTTATACCTATTTTGATATAATTTGGCTCAATTTTTGAGTATCTTGAGATGAATTGTTTTGTCATTTAAGATTAATATTTGCAGCAATACTAGTAATCAATCATATTATATGAAATTTTAAAAACTATATAATTTCATATAAATAAATAAAAAATTATAGTTATTTTGATGACAGACATGTTAAAGTTGTATCGCAAGTGAAAAATAATTTAGTAAATGGATGTTTTGCTTCTATTTATTTTGTTGGAGGATTTTGAATTTATAATCATCAGACTGAAAAATAGAAAAATTCTCATAGATTCAAAGCAATTTGAACCAACATTGAATTGGAAATGAAATGATAATAAATTAAGGGAAAAAAAAATGAAATGATAATAAATTGGCACAAATCAAATTGTGTTGTACCAACAACCATAATAATCACACATGTAAAAGTTCAATATATTATTCTTTTTAGCTACTTTATATATATATATATGTGATTGAAAGAAAAAAATCCAAAATAAATTTAATTTATAATGAATCAGAAGTACCAAAGCTTTGGTATTGCAAAATATGAAGAGAATCTTTGTTTCGAACTACCTTCAGGTCACAATGAAACAACAGTACAACCCTCCCTTATTAATTAATAAGTGCCTTTCCAAGAAGGATATTAAATAATTGGAGAGGCCAAGCTATCTTAAATTTCATCATATTTTTAAGGGTAAAGTCTAAAAAATCTCTTTGAACTATGTCCAAATTTGTAAATAATACAGAAGTATTTTTTTTTTCATAAAACCGTCTTTTTTTAATTTTTTTATTTTTTTCCATAAAACCGCCTGAACTATCACATTTAGTTGCAAAATATCCCCATTGCCTTAACTATTTTTTATTAAATGACCATAATACATTTTCTTATTGAATTACACTTGATTTATTTTTCTTATTGAAACAAATATAAAAAAAAAATTCATACTAATTTGATAAAATATTCTCCATTAAATTTGCATAATTTTGCCTTTAATTTTGAAATTAATTATTTAAATGAAAATCTTAAGTTGAAAATTTTGAAATAATTTAAGTAATTTCATAATTTTTCATGAATATATTACATAAAAAAGGAAAAAAAATTATTCATGTAATTTATTAATATTGCATAAAAAAATATATTTGTTATTTACGTAATTTATTAAATTTTCATGAATATTATATGAAAAGAAAGGTATTTTTTTACACTAATTTTTTTTTAAATGTGAGTATAATAAGTTTCATTATAACAAGTTAATCATTTTAAAAAATGGTAGCTACTAATCTATTTATTATTTTTCATTTTTATGATAAATTGACACTAATTATAAAATTAAGGTAACTGATATAATTAATTTTGAATAATAGAAAATATAATAAAAAATAATTTAATAAGAAATGATAATTTTAATAAGAAAGGATAAAATAATCTTTTATAATGGATTTGTTCTTAATTGCAGCAAATTAATTTAAGGGAATTATTTGTAACAATGAAATAGTTCAGAAGAGTTTTTTGCATTTTACTTTATTTTCAATATACTATGCTATTTTATTGTCTATGCTAATGGATCTAAAAATGTCAAATTTAGTGTGGTAGAAGGATTGCGTGAGATCCGGAGAGAATTTTGTTTTCATATTTTAAACCTGTAACCTTCCTATCCATATTTTAACGTGACCTTCGTATCAAAATGGAACAAACTTGACCCACGGCTGCCCTCATCTAAGCTAATAGAGATCTGCCTTTACATCAGCCATAAGAAACTGTATCTCCAACTTGGTGAAAACAAAAACAAAAGTTGTGTATATATATTCGTGACGACCTGCCACACACTATGTTTGAGGAGGACAGTAGAGCCTCCATGACACCAATTATTTTACCACTGAAGATGTCAGCATTTTGTTAGATATACATAAAGATATAAAGTCACCATATCCAAGCATCTGTTCATAAGATTCTCTTTATCATGAATTTCTATCAGGTTTCTGTTTCTAGCTTCTTTGTTGTTTTCATTACTTCCTGGATTGTAGAACCATTTGATCTTCAGAGGATGGGTACTATATGTCTTGCATACCAATGGGGCTAAAGGAATCTACGAGAGCTTTCAGTTGTCTCAGCTCGGGCTCGAGCTTGAGTTGAGCCATACAAGCGTGTTTAATTTTGAGCTCCGTTTGTTTGCTTAATTATTTAGTTAGCTTCAATTGTTCTTGAGCTCAACATGAGACAAACTCACAATCTTTATCAAGTTTGTTCACGAATACTTGTTTATAAACCTATTTCTAAGCCCAAGGCCCTGCTCGTTGATCAAATGAGCTTAAGAAACAAGTAACTGCTTATAGCAACTCCATCAGTGCTCTTTTTGGCGAAATTGGGTCAATTTTTGAAGATTGGATGCTCCAATGGACTATGGAAAAAGTGAGCCCTAAAGAATGACTCTTGATGGAGTAGGGGGCACATGGTTCCGGTTCTCACGGTTCCGGTTGAAGCCGGAACCGTAACCGTTCACGACGGTTCCTTGAAAACGGAACCGGAACCGTATAGCATGGAACCGAATCGGAACCGAACCGTAGAAATGGTACGGTTCCGGTTGGGTTCCCATGCAACCGTTAACTCTCAGGCAAGCACGGAGCTTCAGACGGGTTAGGACCGTTAGGTTTCGGCATCGGAAAGAGATGAGCTTGAGAACTTCGTCGCCGATGCTCGCATATTGCGATCGCATTTCAGAGAGAGTTTAGTCACCGCATCGAACCTCGAAAATAGAAACGGAACCACCGAGAGCAGATCGGTTTGGGTGTTGAGAGAGAGACGGTGACGGCTCTGTCCCTCGATTTGAAACCACCGGCAACAGACGAGAGAGCATCGTTTCCGATTACCGGAGCTAAGCGACTGGAATATGCAAGCTAAGCACTCGTCGGGAAGGTTGGAGATGTAGTCGAGGAGATCAGGAGCGTCGGATAATGATGTCCTCAATTGACCAACATGCCGGCGTTGGTTAACTCTCGGCAAGCATAAAGCTTCAGATGGGTTAGGTTTTGACATCGGAAAGAGACGAGCTTTGTACATCTGTACTAAATTACTAATCCCAGCTTTTCATCTCTGCTGCATAATCTTGAATCTTCCACCTCATCAACTGAAGGAGCCTCGCACCCAAGAGCTGATGTATCAGTATCATCTCTCAAACCACTAGATTTTGTAGTTTACATACAGTTAGTTGCAGAGATAGAGAGGGCAAGTTCAGAGTCGAGAGAATAGAGATGGAGATTGGTGGCGATTGGGGAGGCTGAGGCTCAAATTAGGGCAAAAAACTAAAAAAAAATAGGTATATATATATATATACGGGGTTAGTTTTATATAATATATATATAATTATATATTATAATATATAATTATACATACGGTTCCGATTCTTATCGGTTCCCACGGCTGGAACAAGAACTGGAACCGTATGTACACGGTTCCTAAATTCGGAACCGGAACTGTGAGAATCGTGAAAAACAGTTCCGGTTCCAGTTCCACGGTTCCGATTTTGTTGTGCACCCCTATGATGGAAGTAGCTAGAAAGCAAGAGTGGGTTGACAATTGGGCTCACTTTTTCTGTGCCCATTTTGTTTTCTTTTATTTTTAAAATTCAGACCAGAACACTATTTCCTAAGCCCAGAACACCATTTCTAAGGGCATGTTTGGCTGAAATAAAAGCTAAAATTCAAATTTTTGGCTTACTTTGGTAACTCTTTTTTCTCCCTTAAAATAATTGAACCAAAGAGTCGTTAAGGCACCATTTGGCTAACACAAACAGTGCCTTAAAAGTTTTTTTAGGCAAAATTTTTTTTTTTAAAATTAGAAAAAAGTGATTTTTTTTTGTTTTTAAATTTTGTAATGTTTGTATTGACATTATAGCCATTAGAAATATAGCCGTTAGGAAAAAGTTAAAAAATAAATTATATTTTAAATTTTAAAAATATTAATATTTTTGGAGAGCAAAAGTGTACCCTTGGAGTACATGCGATAGCTAAATTTAGAGACTCTAAAATGCTGACGTGACTATAGAAAATGTTTATGTGACTATTGAAAAATACTGATATGGCAAATTCGGAGAGCCTAATTTTAAAGAGTCTATTGGAGATGCTCTTAACTTATTTGCTTAGCAAATAGGATTGAGCCGAACTTTAATCTAACAGAATCTGAACTGTTCATAAGCTGTTTGTCTTGTTTACAGCTCCAACGAGACTTAAGTACTGTCTTATTATTTATTTAAGATAACTGATTAGTTAAATTGATTTTTAAAAAAAAAAAAAAAAAACAACAACAAATGCCACGATAACTCTGGTAAAGGTTGCTCATTTTAGTAAGAAACTTTTATACTATACAAGTTGTCATTTAAACTAAAAAATATAGCAAATCACCCCCTTCAATTATAAAAAATGACTGAGTCAAGAAACTTTTATACTATACAAGTCGTCATTTAAACTAAAAAATATAGCAAATCACCCCCTTCAATTATAAAAAATGACTGAAAGATTCAATCAAGAAAAAGCAAAAAATATGCTGATTTATTGCAATTAACCCTATGAATTTATATTCCTCAAGCTTAACCGTCAGATCAACCGATCAACCACTCTTGTCAACCACTTGATCTAGCCTGTTAACGTGGTCCCATCAATAAATGGGACCCACCCACATCAGTAAGACCTAAATTCTACATGACGGCCCAACATTAAGTACTGGCCCGTAACTAGGTGGCCCATAACAATCATTTGTTCATCCATCGCTGTACGCCCAGAAACCCCTGCGATTCTGAGAGTCTCATACCACCAAGCTATGTTGTTTCAACCAGTTCAATCTAGGATCTGTGTTAAAGAAGTCTATAGATTCGTAATTTTCGCCACATGGTGGTATATGATTGGTTGACACTACCTTCTTTCATGGACTTATTTCACCTGATTCTACACCATTTTGTGTTGCTTGGCTGTTGTGCTTTCAAATATCAAAAAATTCCTTTCATTTTAGTTGGGGTGTCAGTTGAGAATAGAGAATTGCTAACCAAAAAAATAATAATGATAATATTTTTTTAAAAACTAAATAAATAAATAATTGAGACTAGAGAAGAAGTCCTCAATAAATAAAATTGCAATATTTTGTAAATTCAAAACTCTCTCTCTCTCTCTCTCTCTCTCTCTCCCCCATGTTTTTCTTTCATTTCCACTGTTGATGCTGCTATTACTTACAAGCCATCTTGCAACACATCCCAAGGTCATGGGTAAATTCTTCCCTAGTATGTATCTTCAACATCTTGACACTTGTTTCCTAATTTCCTGTTTTTTGTTTTTTGGATGCTAGATGTGACATTTGTGTTTATAATCTTCATTTGTTAATTCATTACATTCTTTAGCCATCTGTTTCAATAGTGTATTGCTTATCAAATCTGCAGTGCTTTAGATACCATTTTTAGATTTATAAAACATATTTATATTCTTGGTTCAATTGATTCATAACGATACTAATGCCATTTCATTTGGAAATTTAATCATAATACAAAATTTTCAAGTGGCCTTTATTTGGTCTGACATGTGTTTTAATTTTAATTATCATAGTAACGGTGAAGTTTGAACCTGACGTTACCGACTCTGAACTAAAATCACAATCTTTCTTGGATTTCTGCCTCTACTCGGTTTGAAAAGTTTTGTGCTAGGGTTGTGTTAGACACTATATGTCATTCAGCATCTTGATTGATACAAATGGGTTGTGGAAGTTGGTTTAAGGCAATAATTAGCCCAAAGAAAGCCAAGGTAATTTCCTATTCAATATTTATTTTTATTTTATTTATTTATTTGGTCTCTAACTGCCCCAAAACCTCTATCTTCAATTCATATACATGCTACTAAGATTCTAAGAAACAGGTAAAATCAGCTACCAAAAAATCAAATGGATCAAATGGGGGAGGTGTCAATGGTGAAGTATCCAATAATGTTGCCAATGGTAGTTCCAGCAGAGACGGTGGTGTTTTTAAAATGCGCAGGGAGGATGTTGCTGCCACGCGGATTCAAACTGCATTTCGGGCATTTATGGTATGGACTATACTATTTAAAAAAAAATTCAAACCGAAAATGCTATTATTTGGATGCATTGGATAAGATCAAAGTATATAACAATTCTCTGCCTGTATAAAATTTATAGGCAAGGAGAGCTCTACGCCATCTTAGAGGAACAGTGAGATTTAACTCCTTGATCGAAGTTAATAATGCTGCAATGCAGACATCAAACACTTTGAGCCATATACATTCTTGGAGCAGAATTCAGGCAGACATTAGAGCTCGCCGACTATGCATGGTGGCAGAAAGCCGGATAAGGAAAAAGAAATTAGAAAATCAGTTAAAACTCGAGGCTAAGCTTCATGAACTACAGGTACTAATGACCCTGATGCATCATGAATGTTTGTTTTCATGGCCTAAATTTATCAAGAACAACACGTTGTCAGTTCTGTTCATTCTTCTGTTTGGTGTGAGGATGTTTCAGTAAGGCCTCATGATTTTACAAAGAGTGTTTTCAATTTCTACACACAATAAGCGAATATATAGAGATAACATGAAAATTGAAATTCCTCTAAATTTCTACACAGCATTTAAGTGCTTCCAAGCTGCCAAACTTAACTGCAAATGAACAACTCAGGCACCAAATTTGCTTCCTAACAATAATCTGATTTTGCCCAACAGGTGGAATGGTGTGGTGGCTATGAAACCATGGAGGAAATTCTCTCTAGGATACAACAGAGAGAAGAAGCAGCCATTAAGCGCGAGCGAGCCATGGCATACGCCTTCTCTCATCAGGTATGCCAATTTGAAAATAATTATTAGGATTTTTATTTGCAATTCTCATGCTTTTTCTTTTCGAAAATATCGCGTGATTTAATCTGATTTGCAGTGGAGGGCCAACTCTAGTCCATACTTTGGTCAGGCTTATTATGATCTTGGCAAAGAGAGCTGGGGTTGGAGCTGGATGGAGCGCTGGATAGCTATTCGCCCATGGGAGGCTCGTGTTCTTGCACCTACCGTACTTCCAAAGAAAGTTCAGACCAAGCAGGGAAGCAAGGTAGGTAAAACTACAAACCGGTCGCCAACCAAAATCTTGGTTTCAGTCAAACCTATTTCATCAAAATGGGAAGGGAACTGCGAGAGCAAGAGAATCAAACAGAACAACGTAGCTGCTGAGACGCAAGCTCCACAAGAGGCAAATACTGAAGTTTTAAGCTTGTCTCAAGCTGAAAGTAATAAAACAAGTGCAGAGCAAGATCAAATTATTGCTTAGCAGTTCAATGGTCTGAACTGTGAAGGTTTTTTTTTTGGGGTCTTTTACTGCCTTCATTCCTTATTTTATCTATTTGAGATTGGTGTGGAGAAATAAGGTTTGGTATTAAGTATATAAAATTTAAAACAAACCTAATATTTGGGAATGTTCCAATCATCATTGTTGATACTGTAGAATATGCATACTAAGGGGTTATGAGTTGTCTTGCTATAATGGAATTAAGGATTGTAATAGTAAATTATTGTGCCAACCACGGGGTTTATGATTGAAACTTCTACGATTCAGTTTTGTTTGGATTCTTCTACCGTGGACTGACTTCTTGTTTTCTTTTTAACACACTCCTTCAACAAGAAGGGTCCAATTACACAAGGAAAACATAGCTATTACAGAATTATATATGCTCTGTAAATTCTTGAATAAATAAAACCAAATGTAGTACAATCCAACTCATGTCACTATTATACATTATCTTACTACAGTCCCTATTCTCCTAAACCCTTAAATTCCACCCATAAACCCTGTTTTTCTTTAATGAAAATTACCATTATAACTAGCCTATAGATTCAGCTCATGCATACCAGCAGGCTTTCAACTCTAAATGCACTGAACAAACTTCCCTTGAACTCTGAATCGTTCATCCAAATTATTGTACAAATTTATTGTAGATTTAGTAGGACTCGTCAACAATAAAGAAGCACCAACCACCATTATACAGTTGTCACCATCTCAATTGAAGCCGAAGTGTTCTTCTATTTTGGTCTTTCCTTTTATGCAAGACATAGTTTCCAGCTAGATTAAAGATTTTTATTATGCAGAAGAATTTACAGGGTAGGGGACCATGAAATAGTAGCCTAAGTGCCATAACTGAGATTGTTGTGTTAACATTCACTTTTTCATGATTCCTCACTTCCTCCTGCAGCTGAATTCCACTTACCCCAACTTGGTTTGCCTTTGCTATATCTATCTAATGTGCCCATCACCTTAGATTCCTCCACAACCTGATCTTAGAGCTAAAGTAGCTTTGAGAACCTATGACTCAAAATGACAACCTCTTCTAATACAACATCTATGTCTGCTTTGATTTGGAACAACTTTTCTAAAGTCAGAAACAGAATTCAAGAATCTACTATTAGGAGTAATTTGGGTTCTAGGTTGATGATGGTTATGCTTGAAGCTTGCACAAGAGTAACAAAGCACACACGACGCTTTCAAGATTTATTCCAGCTCTGCTTTTTCTTTACTAAATGAGTCTATGTAAAACAGAGCTATAACCAGCAAACGACGGTTACAAAAAACAAAGGATTCCTCTCTATAAAAGGGAGAAAGCTTGTATAAAGATCAAATTGAGAAATTAGCTTACTCTCTAACCCTTTCGATAACCACCTCTACTGTTCACGGAAAATGACCTATAATCCAATGCTCCCAAAAATCCAGGCAATGATAGAGATGCAAAGATTGCTTATTTCTTTCAATTCTTTTTGCTGGTTTAAGGAAGTAGTTGAGACATGAACTGTTCCATTAGAAAGTATCAAAGCAACAAAACAACCAAAAGACAGCTCTCTCTTTCACTCACATGACAAATTGAACATTTTTAACCAAGGGAAACACTATATCTGTACTCTCATTTTGATTTCCAGAAAGCAACCAGCAGCTAAAATCAAAATCAGTATAGCAATGAAATACCAAAAACTTTATGCTCCTTCTCAATCTGGTGTTGCCTTATTTCAAGAGAATCTCTCAAAAAATTTGCTAGATTTCAGCATATTTGACCTGTTCGTAGGAGGAAACTATACAATCATGAAGAACTAGTTCACTTTTAGGAGTCGTCACTCAAGAAATGGATGTCAAGCAAACAGTGGCAACTTACAAGTCTAGCAACATTAAAGCAAAGCAATCCAACGTAGAATATAACAAAGTTGAGCTCCAAGAGCACATTTCAACAGCAAATTAAAACATAAATAACTAAAATTGAAGCAAACCGGGAACTAAAAAAAACCTGAAATACACTCAGATTTCTTCTTCCCACTGTAGCGGCCATTGATTGAACAGACCAAAATCTCTCTCCCTTGCCTGCTAACAGCAATAGCAGCATACAAGCAAATTCTAGGTTGCTGTAGTTGATAATGGATTGAGTTCTGAAAGATCAGTTCAATGTAACAGTTTATATTATTTGTGGGAAAATTATGTAAATTTTAGAATGAGACGCAATTGAATGGATTTCACAAATGGCTTTGAAAGGAATCACCTGCTTGAGAGAGAGAGTTTTAGTCTTTAAGCTCACTCAATGGCGAGAGTCAGAGGAAGCAGAAGATGGCTGATTGGAAATGCCATCGTGTTCCTCTTCTTCACCTTGAATTCGTGCTGGGATCCGAAATCCGGAGAATTCGCCTCCTGGGGCGAACCCAATGCCGGACATGGATGATGGATGGACCTGAAGTGTTTGATGGTGGTGGTGCTGATGTGCGGTGGTGGTGGTGGTAGAAATGGAAAACGGGTCTATCCAAGCACGAACCAAAGGTGTGTTACTGGACTGAAGGGGTCCCCTCTGAGAAAACATCTGGTTCTGGCCGAACAACGGCTGCAGCAACGGCGACGTTGGCGGCGAATTAAAGATAAATCCTCCTCCACCACCACTGTTCTCGGCGTCTCCACCGGTACTATTCCAAGCAACCATTCTCTGAAACCTCCCAATCTCCGCCGACTGGTGCTCAGACCAGCCAGACCCATCAAAACCCAGTTGGGTGGTGGCTCCAGAGAAAAGGGCTTGCTCGTTTTGGTGGTTCTGATGTTGAGACGCTTGGTTGTGGTGGTGGTGGTGGTGGTGTTGGATAAGAATTGGGTCCTGAATGGATTGAAGCGAGAGCCTCAGATCTTGGTTCTGACTGCTCATTCTCGACAGCAAATCGGGCGGTGGAAAGTTCGGAAACTGCATCGCCGACGAATTCGGCTCCGCCGAAGCACCCATTGGGAAGAAAGACTTGATCGTGTCGGCGATGGAATCGGAATCCAGAGACGGCGGCAAGAAACTCGAGCTATTCTCGTTGTGGTTGCTACTAATTTGTAGCTGCTGCTGCTGATGATTCTGAATCTCGCATCTCGTAGTTGCTATAGCCCTCCTAGTTGAAGAAGAACCGCCAACTGTATCCATCATCACAGAGTCATGGTGGTGGATAAGAAAAAGCTGATCTTGGTTCTCCTCTTTTCGCTGCTTCTGAGCGGCTTGAACCGCTTGTTCTTGATCGAAATTAGCATTTGCTGTTGAACCAGTTGTTGGGTTCCACGCGGGTAGCTGCGCAAGCTCGTCAATGGAGTTCTTGGCCTTTTTGATGAGCCAATCGACAGCTTTGCTGGGTCGGTCGTAGCCGAGGCGGTCCTGCACGTCGTAGAACTGAATCGCCGTGTGCGCAGACAGGCGGACACGGCGGTCCCTCGGGCCTTTCGCGGTGCAGACCTTGCTGTGCCGGTCTTTCCGTCCGGTGGATCGGACAATGTGGCCTCCGTGAACTTCCACGATGTCGCCGCCGGCGTTTCTTAGACCCAATCTTGACGATACTGTTTGGTGGTGTTGATGGGTGTCTCCCATTTTTTCTTGCAATCTCGCATGTTCGACGTTTTGCCCCAATGAGGATGAAGAAGGTAGGTAAGAGCGTTTCTTGTGGGGCTGTGGAGGCTGTTGTTGTTGTTGATGATTTTGTGCATCTAATCTTCCATACAGTAGTTGGTGTTGGTCTTGGACTTGTGGGAGATATAGATGGTTGTGTCCATGAAAGGCCAGTTCTTTTTCCTTTTCTGATTGGTCTTGGTCTTCTTCTTCCTCTACTTCTTCTTCTACATGTCTTGAAGTTGAGACTTGGTTTTGGTTTTGGTTTTGGTTCTGGTTCTGATGGTGATGATGATTCCTCTGAGGATCCAGACTCAGACCCTTGTTGTGCTTTTCTTGTTCCAGCTTTTGATTGACAACACGTTTTCTTACTGGCTTCTTGTTTCCTCACTCCCCTCTCTTTGCTTCTTCTTCTTGTTGTTGTGCTTCTTCTGTATCTGCCACCACTTTGTAACTTGATATTGCTGCCTCTTCCTCTCCCAAAATCCCCTGTCATTCAATCCAAAAAATTCCATCATGAAATCAGAAACCCTAAATCAGCTCCAATTGAGCCTAACCCATTTTCCTATGCCCCTTTCTCTCGATCTCTCTCTGTCTTTACTCAGCTTTTGATATAGATGTGTGCAAACCAGATAGTGAAACAAGAACAAGGAGGGTTGCAATATGGACAGTATCCACTTGAACAAGCAAACCCTATATTCAAGAGGGTGTCCAGTGACTGTCTTGGAATTGTTTCATATTTTCTAGAGAGATAGAGAAAGGGGGAGAGGGTTTGGAGGTGGTGGGGAACAGTAAATATATGGATATCAGGGAAGAGTAATACTTCCTATTGCCTACAATTAGAGCTCTTTTAAGTCACTGCCAAGGGTGGCAGTGTTGGGTCAAAAAGGATATTATAATGGACTTTTGTAATCTCATTACTACCCTTTTCTGCCTACACAAACACAAGTACCAAATCTCTTTTTAATTCAACCAAAGCTAACTTATTCCTTGGAACTTCTACCCCCGTTGGATGTGCCAAGCTTACAACTAGTCGCACAGTTAGTAAACAAGAGCATTATTTAGCCGTCTAGTTTGTAAACCATCAAGTTTCTCGAGTGAGGGTGTGTGCTCGTTTTTAAGTACTTAAGATAAAAGAAAAAGGGTAATTTCTTATAATTTGTTATAATTACATGCAGCATCCTTTCTATTTTAGAAATTACGCAGACTTCTCCTACTTTTGAAAATATCATACACAAATCTCCCTTCTGTTATAGTCAAGGCTGTTAACAACGAAAAATGATGACATCAGCTACTATTTTTCATAAAATGCCGAAAATACCCTTATCTATATTATTTCATATTATATATATAGAGAGAGAGAGAGAGAGAGAGAAATAAAAAACATCTGCATTGAAACAGCGTAAGAAATTCACCAATGGTGGTCTTGAAGAATTTGGCGGTGGATGACTGGGAGACCGGTGTATCAAAAAGGGTTTTGAGGGTTTGTAAATAAATTCCACTTGGGTCCTGAAATTTTTGGTCTGCACAACCTCTGTACACCAATTTTGTGTAATCTAAGGAGGACACAAGGATGGTAAAGAAAGTTAGAGAGAGAAATAGGAGAGAGAAGGATTTGGCAGCAGCTGGAGTTGAGCCCATCTGGGGATTTGAATTCTGTTCAACACATCACCGGTTTTTTTAAAAGGAATTGAAAGGGGTTTTTTTGGTGGCTTCTAGAGATGGATTTTTTTAGAGAGAGAGAGACACGGGCTTTTAGAGGGAGAGTGGGTATGTGCCGTGTTATTCTAAAAGGAGATCAAAATCAAATCATAAATAATATTACAAGAATTGTATGAATCTGTTGTGGGTATTGTTTGAATTTGACGCATTTTTCCTCTTGAATAGTAAAATTGCAATTGAAAAGCTTTGATTGATTATTCAATATTCTTCAACAACCTCACGTTTTCCTAATCATTAATAAAATTATTCTCTTTTATTAATTGTAGTTATATATATATATTTGTTGTGTATGCGTATATTATGTAAACTTAGAAAATGAGGAGAGAGAGCGTGAGGTGGAGGAAGAGATTGCCGAAATGATTCGCCGGTGGGTGGAGGTCAGCGGCAGCTGACTGATATATAATAAACCCATCAGTGACTGATTTATAATTATAAAAACAAACCTCATCAAAGTGTGGCCCAATCTTGCCAACAAACCTCATCAAAAACCCATTTGAGAACAAATTGAACAACAATGGCAGTTTTTTATGGATTCATCTCTGACATATGAGAGAGGATTTGGGTAAGTTAGAGAGAGAAAGTAAATCCTTAATTGAAGGTTGGTGAGAGATTCTGCGACTTGCGCAATTGGAGAAGATGACAAGCTGATCTCATGCCTACATTATAACTTAAAGAGGTAGTTTAGTAATTTCAGATGCCAAAGAGAGGGTATTTCAGTAATTTTGACAGCTCTGTTAATGTATTTAACGGTCCGTCACACATAAAGGAGGTCCATGTATAATATTTTCAAAAGTAGGAGAGGTTCGCGTAATTTTCGAAACAGAAAGGATATTATCTGTAATTATGACAAACCATAAGAAAGATCTGTATAAATTATCCAAAGAAAAATGCATCATATCAAATTTTTGTCATCATTTTCACACTCAAGTTAGCTCTAGTTTCATTCAACTGAATGCAGGCTAAACCTATGCATAAGCAAATAATATAGTGTTTCTTTATTAGATAAACATGCTAATGACATGGTAAGCCTGACTTACCTAATTATATTCTACTCTAGTTAGATTTTCTTTTTTACTTCTTGATTATTAGTTAGAGCAGTTGGTTACAGTTCAAGGAGTGTCTAAATGGAATATGGATGGCTTTGATAGATAGAGAGAGAGATCCTTCAATTGCCACTGCCACTGCCACCCCCCTTTGAAAGTGACCTCTTTCAGCTTTTGTTTTTGTTTTTCCCTCTTTTTTTTTTTTTTTTTTTTTTTCTTTCTTTCTAGGGCTCTTTTCTATCTCTATTATTGCTTTACTTAAAAAGAAATAACATCATCTTTTCCCCCACAAATTATTATTATTTTTTATTATTTTATTTTTTTTCTGGTTTGTTGGGAAAACTGTACATGGTCTGTCTTTAATTTCCCTTTTTCGGAACAACATGATTCAATGTTTTTTGCAGCACTGCCCTTGTTCTTCAATCGCTTAAGTAGTAGCCCCAAATCATTTTGATGTGCTTTTCATATGTTTATTATTAGAAGTACTGTGAATTTACTTTTCCTGCTTAAACATCTTTTCTGACTCTCTCTCTCTCTGACTCCACTCCACTGTCACATTTTTCACTTTTTCTTTTACTACAATCTTTTTCAGTGTAGTTAATACGGTAACCACCTTTTTGTAATCAGGCTTAAACTTTCATTTAGCTTTTCCCTAAATGAAACATAACAATCTTCAAAGCGCGGATAGTTGCCACGGTTTCCACCTCTGGATAAATTGAGAGAGAAGAAGATATATTGGAACACAAACATATCGATTTAGAGAGTTGAGTGCTCTCCAAATTAGGTCACTCTAATTAGTTTTAAATTTATAATCCTATTGTTTTACATGCGACAACCAGTTTTGTACTGCTTGACTGGAGAGTCCATAATATTTTAAAATTTCCTTTTCATTCAAAATTAAATAAAATAAAGTTCACAAAATGAAACAATATTTTAATGGTTTGAATAGTTATTCAAATAGTAACTCGTTATTTCAAGTGGTCTTGTATTTAAATCCATGTTCACATTCTTATTTTGAATTCATATTTTTTTGCTATCATTAAAGTAACACAATAATAAAATAATACTTGTCTATTTTAATTAAATATAATATATATTTTTCTGATATTTTCTATTTTTCTTTACATATTTAAAATTTGAAAAATAACATGTCATCTTGTTACATCACTAACAAAGAAGAGGTTCATCTGGTGTGAAGGCAAAGCATTATTCTTATAATGAAAGGAGAGCTCTCAACATTCTGCTGATGTAACATGCTTGGCAACTATATATTATTCTATAATCAAATGAGTTCAACCTTCTACTCGTGTAACATGCGCTATAAAAAGGATATACATAGGTAACAAAAAAAATTTCTTCCTTGAACAGTGTGTTTTAGTGTATTAGAATTCTGTGTCTTGTCGACTCTTCATTGACAAGAATATATAAATAAATTCATACGAGTACACATTTTTCATTACAACCATAATAGAAGTTAACGGTCAACCTAGAATCCATTTTCGTCAAAAATATAATTTCTCTTTTATATATGTCAAATAATAAAAAAGAATTAGAGCATTCAAGAAAATCACCAATGCCAACACTAAATTCCACTGTATGCTTCACTCCCACCACCAAATAGATGCCACTCTAACCAATGCCATTAACATCTTCAAGGCTTAAATTCAATGCTTAAAGTTTTTAAACTGTGTGTAAACCACTCTAACCAATGCTATAAACACCTTGAAAGCTTAAAACTATTGAATTTATTTTAACTCTTGTGTACATACATTTAACTATATATAGTAAATGAAAAACAAATTCAATGTATCCAAAATCTTTCAGGGATGGTTATAGGCTAAGACACATGAAGCGAAAGTAAAAATAAATTCTAGAATTAAAAAGTGAGAGCGACAGAATTAAGTGTAAAAATCTAAGTCAGACCGTACGCGGAGCGTGAGAGAGGGAGTGCCCTACTTTACCAAAAGTTAAAAGAGTAATGTTACGTTACCCGATCGATTTTTATGTCGTTTTAATAAATAGATAGAGTTCGATAAGAAGTCTTGGTTAATAATAATTTATATATATATATATATATATATATATATATATATATATATTATTATTATTTTTTTGTTCTTAAAACATTTTAAATTGGTGGGTATGAGCTAACATCATTTCCGTAGAAACCCATGTGCACGAATTACTCAAACTATATTTTTATTTCAAATATCTTGTTTCAATTGTTTCGTAATATGTTGAGCTTCAAACCTAAGAAGATCACATGGGTTCAATTATTTTGTGAATGGTACTAGATCCAACATAATGCAAACTAGATTGGTTGTGACGATCACTTATCATTAATTTCTTGTTTTGTCATTTTCAGAACAATCTTTCAGATTCATTGAATATTTTGATAGGTAATCGTATATTTGTCTAAATTTCGGGGATTAAAATCATTTTAAGTATATAACACTGCTCTTTGTAATTATTCCGCATCCACAGGGGCATTTTCGCAAGCAGACAATGTGGTTTCGCCTGTCGCCGTGGAATGTCCCACCAGTTTTGATTCGTTATCGTCGAGGAAAGTGACGCCCTGTGCCTTATGAAATGACCAAATTACCCTCCCTTTGGTGTGAGAGA